AAGTCGGACATTGCTTATGATTTTTTTGGGTGTAGAATTTGATAGAGATGCTGTGACATGTCCCAACCAATATCCAGCCACTACTAAATTATCCCTAGCAATAATTTTGCTCAATGAAATGCCTGTTGTCTGCCGTTATGTCCCCACATATATTTGCTTGCACTTCTGCATTCATTTCAGTACAGTTTTGGTTCGCCTATGGATGTCCAAAGTAAAATCGAGCCGTGAAGCAAACCCAGATGAGACTCAGTGTGATTCAAACACAAATCCTCTGCAAATAATATTCCATCTTCTTTTATTCCAATCAGACTTTGAAGAGACTAAGCTTGTGTCCTTCAGCCGTCTGCTGCGCTGGAGTTACAGCTGCGGCTGCTGATTTATATCGTCTGGAGGGGGATCTCAGCGCTTTGAAGGTTCATGCAAAGCGTCAGACCTTCAGCCACACACACGTTCAGGTCCATCCAACCGTTCCTCCGGCCTTGAGAAGCTCCATCAGTTCACATTCAGCATCACAGACCGATGAAATCACTCCAGACTCGATCCACTGAAGGACAGCAAACTCCTCTTACATCAGAGAATAATGGTACTCAAGACATTTAACTTCAATTAATGTAAAAATACAAATATGTTGCATGACATTTACTGCTGAAATACTACAGTAAAAACCTGTTGGTTAACAGTAGGCTTTCTTAAAATATATAGTGAAAAGCTGTAATAGATCTAATTGGGCATTTCATGTAATTTTACAGCAAAATACTGCTAAAATGTAGTTTGTTATACTGTTAACAAAGTATTTAAATTGAAATAGAATAAAATAATAATATTTTTTTTTTTGCAATTTATACCAGTGCTGTTATTGTTAACAAACTATTATTAAAAATATTTTTAATTGAAATAAAGCTGAAATGAAATAAAATATATATTAGACTTAAACTTGAAATAAATTAGACATGTTAATAAAAAAAAATAAAAAATAAAAATATATATATAAAACTTTATTTCAGCTAGTTTCCAAGGCAACATTTCTAATTTTCATTCAGTTTAACTTTGTGTACTAAAATAACTAAAACTGTAATAACATTATTAAAATATAAAGTAGGAATAAAATAAAATATAAATATTAGATTTAAAATTATATTAGACTTACACTTGAAAAAAATAGACATGGTAATAAAATATAAAAAACAACAAAACAACAAAAAACTATTTCATTTAGTTGCTAAAGCAACATTTCTCATTTTAATTCAGTTTAACTTGATGTACTTAACTAAAACTACAATAAAATTAATAAAAATGTAGCTTAAAATAAAAAAGTTAACTGAAATGAAATAAAATGTATTAAATAAAAAAAGCGATTATCAGTGAATAAAAGCTTAAATTTGATCTGTTCCTCACACGAAGCAATCAGAGGCATGGTGCTATTCTGTCAAGTTGGAACAAAATCAGAACTATTCTTGGTGAAGTATTCCTTTAAATGGCCTAAAATAGGCTGATTTAATATTAAACAAAAACAACTAATTAACAGCAGTCACAAACTAAACCAGAGTGAGCCAGAGCACCGCAATTCTGTCAATAAAAATAGCACTTTCTGCAATGCCATGAGAGCTTATCTGGATCTCTTCAGTCAGCAGATGATTTCCAGTGTTTTTCCCTCCATGCATGTAAACACAGGCTGATTTCCAGTAAGGATGTGGTCAGAGATGTCAGTGCAGGAGTGGACAGCTGTTACTCAGAGCTCATCTGGCCACATCACAGACCTGAAGAAGCGGAGCGAGTGACAAAATCAATGCTGAACTGCGGAAGTAGAGGATACATTTCTGGAGAAATGAAGTGTAGCGTTTGTCCGTTCATAACTCGTTTCTTCTCGTCCCGTGATCTTCTGGTCTACAGATGTGGCTCAGGTTTCAATGCATGTCTGTGCATGGGACTTTTAGTTTTCACCTCTTTTGTGGTCCAGCAGGTGAAAATGGTGCGTCTGATCACTTTCTCCAGTGTTTTTACAGTTAAGCTAAAACCATAAAAAACTTGTTGCTTGAAATAAAATGAATGTTAAATGAAATAACAGAAATAGTAAACAAAACATTAAAAAAAAAACTAAATGAAAATTAGAAATGTTGCCTCAGCAACTAGCTGAAATAAAACTTGACGTACTAAAATAACTAAAACTGAAATAAAAATGAATAAAAACTACATAAACATAAAAAAAATGTGTAAATGTCAAAAACACAAAATTACTACAATTTTAAAATTGAAAAAGGAACATATAAAAAATGGTGCATTGGATCACTTTCTTTATTATAGTTAACTGAAACTTAAACTATAACCATTAAAAAATCCGCAACTGAAATAAAATTATAAATATATAAAAAAAAACTATATAAAAATATTTAACAAACTAATTTTATATCAGCTATAGTTGTCAATGCAACATTTCTAATTTTCATTTAGTTTTACTTGATGTACTAAAATGACAAACTGAAATAAAAACTAATAAAAAAAACTACATAGAAATACTTAAAAAATGTACTTTAACTTAAAAAAAAATTAATTAATTACTAAAATACTACTACTCGTGACTCGCTTTTTGCTGTTTATTTTCTTTATTATTTGTTATTTATATTTTAGTTTGTAATTATTTTTGTTTTTAATTTATTATTTTGCTAAAATGAGCTTAAGCAACAGAATTCGTGAACATTGTGAACAATCCACTTAAATGTGTAAAATTGACCGTAATCATTTTGTGTTGGGACTACATCCTCCCTATATGATCATGAACATAATGCCATTTTTACTTATTATCTGACAGAGAAACGTTCAACAAAACAATTAAGATAGTTGTATTGTAATTGCATAGAGACGATTTACTTAATTTAACCAAACTGCTTTTTGAGCATACGATTTGATGAATCATTCACGTTTTTAATACTTAGTTTTTCATAACATTTCTAATATCATTATGAGCAATAATAGTAAACACTACTACTATGAAAATGCCAAAGAAAAGTCTATATAATGCTGTCTTCTGCTGTAAATATATATTATCTGGTGCATTCACATCAGCACGAAGACGATTACTCAAACTGAATGCAGCAACGTTCACATTTTTAACACAACATTTTAGTTTTCTATCCTGTTTGCCCTTCAAGCATGTTTAATGCAGTCTGCTTTACAGAATTATTAGTTACATAAATCAGCATCGGCTACTGTAGCGCATTATTGCAGTTAAAGGTTAGGAATGAAAGGCATTCAGAACGTGTTGAAGTTCTTCTCTTCAGCTGCGAGGTTGAAGGGCAGAGAGTTGAGCTCTTACTGAATCAAGGGAAATGCCATTCCCAGAATGCACCAGAAAATGAAGATTTATACTGGCCCTAAAGCAGCACCGTTCAAAAAAAAAAAGATATGAAATTTGACCAAAGAGCTAATTTTTATAAAGGTTTTAATCAAGGTTTAATGGGCTAGATCTCATTTCCACGTTGTAAAGCTTCTTGAGTTCTTGGAGAATTTGTGAATACATGTGTGCATTTATTTAGATTTAATAAACCTTCAGCTTTAGTTATGAATTCATCACAATCACTCCAACAGAACAAAACAGAAAAGGGTCATTCGTGTCAAACAGGAAGCCAATCTTATATCAAACTTATAGAATTATGTATAAAAAAGCCCCAAAAGTGAGGATGTTTTTGACAGAAGATGAACTAAACTCCCAAAATGCAACTGAAGCTCCCAGAACGAAGGAAGAAAACTAGCCTGATGCATACAGGGGAACTTCCAAGAAAAAATTCAGCTTAATATAAAAATTATGTTATTATTAACTCACCCTCATATCATTCCAAACCTGCATGGATGTTTAAAAAGATATTACAGCTTGGAATATAATGCACAAGTCATATGGATGCTTTATGGGGGTTTTTTGGACTATAAACATGCATGTAAAAGAGCTGCATGAACATTCTTCAAACAATCCTCTTTTGTGTTCATCAGAAAAAAAAAATGGTAGCATGCAGGTTTTAAAAGAATAATCCATCCGAAGATGAAATTTGTCATCGTTTATTCACCTCTGATGTTTCCAAACCTGTATGAAGACAAAAGAAGGTAAAAGGGAGCCGAAAGTATTTGGTGATCACAGTATCTTCTTTTGTGTTCAGGGTTTGCAAACAGGTTGGGAATGGCATGATTGCAGAATTGTAATTTTTGGGTGAACTGTCCCTTTAAGTGACAGAATAATAACAGAATTCACATCTCTCAGTGAAATATTCCTTTAAAAATAATAATAAATATGTTATGCAAATCATTTCCCTCACCTGTACAGTTATTTGCTCTCATATCTAGTTCTGCTCTTTTATCCTTGAGAAATCTGCCTCAAACACACAGCGCCCCCTAGCGGATCATGTGTTTGTGACTGAGCTCACACCTTCAGCACAGATGCAGTTTCATTTCAATCTGTACAAACTGATTTCATATCAATGCTAAACAGAAGAACCGGATCAAGCACCTGCAGCGGAGCGTCTTTCGTGTGTTCAGTGTCTGTCTTTAGATATAAAGACGTGTTTATCTCCAGAATCTTCTGGAAGGTTTGGGAATAATCTCCGACTCTTTTCCCAACGCTGACGTGGTCCGAGTGTGGAAGAACTTCACTGTTCACTGAGTCCAGAGCTATTTCACAGACAGCAGCAGATTTATCTAGATGGCGGGAGACAAAGAATGATTCAATTTCCATCATACAAATGTACTTATTTGACCTCTGATTATAAAATGGATATTTACAGCTCTCCCAGATAACAGGAAACATTCTCAGAAAGATTCTCTCAAAAGTATGAACGAATTTTCTTCAGTAACGCTAACAGAACGCTCGTTTAGAATTTTCTTGTCTTTCATAACGTTCTCTAAACAATAACATTATTTATACATCATTTTCTCTAACAGTTATGAACGTTTTCCCAGTAACATTAGTAGAATGTTCGTTCAAAGTCTTTAACAATGTATCTATCTTCTGGAAGGTTTGGGAATAATCTCCGACTCTTTTCCCAACGCTGACGTGGTCCGAGTGTGGAAGAACTTCACTGTTCACTGAGTCCAGAGCTATTTCACAGACAGCAGCAGATTTATCTAGATGGCGGGAGAGAAAGAAAGATTCAATTTACATCATACAAATGTACTTATTTGACCTCTGATTATAAAATGGATATTTACAGCTCTCCCAGCTAACAGGAAACATTCTCAGAAAGATTCTCTCAAAAGTATGAACGAATTTTCTTCAGTAACGCTAACAGAACGCTCGTTTAGAATTTTCTTGTCTTTCATAACGTTCTCTCAACAAAAACATTATTTATACATCATTTTCTCTAAAAGTTATGAAAGTTTTCCAGTAACATTAGTAGAATGTTCGTTCAAAGTCTTTAACAATGTTCGCAAAACGTTACCATAGAAACATTATTTATTCATCATGTTCTCTCAAAGTTACAAACATCCTTCCAGTAACGTTTGTAGAACACTCATTATAAGTTATAATAATAATAATAATAATAACGTTCTCAAAGCGTTAACACAAAAACATTTATACATCACTCATGGAACATTTTTCTGAAACATTTTAATTGGATGTTGGTCTAATGTTTTTTAAACTTTACTACTGTTCAGAGTAACCTTCCCAAAATGTTTGCAAAATGATAAAATGGAATATTCCCTTAACGTTTAATAATGTTCTCTAAATGTTACTACATGACGTTATAAACATTCGTCCAGTAACGGTCGTTCAAAATGATCTGGTTTTTAATAATGTTCTCAAAACGTTACCGCAAAAACATTATTTATACATTGTTCAAGTAACATTTTTCTTAAAATTTATGAACGAACATTTTTCTAGTGTTGGCGCCAATAGAGTTCGATCCCGTCGCCCCTCTCTCTCCTACTTCACTTCACGTCTACATACTATCCTATCCTAATAAGGGCAAAAAACGCCAAAAAAACAAACAAACTTTTTCTAGTAACGTTAATAGAATGTTCATTCTAAGTTATCTGGTTTATAATAATAACGTTCTCAAAACGTTAGCACAAAAACATTTATACATTATTCATGGAACACTTTTCTGAAACATTTTAGTTGTACGTTTGTCGAACCTTTTTTAAACGTAACTACTTTACTGGCTTCAAATGGTTCAGGGAACATTCAAATGTAACATTCCCAAAATGTTTAATAATGTTCTCTAAACGTTAGTACAAAAACATCTCTCAAAGTTACAAACAAACATTCATCCTGTAACGCGAGTAGAACGTTCCCTCAAAGCTATCTGATCTTTGATAACTTTCTCTAAACGTTTTTACTATCTAGTTGGTACTAACTAGTTACTACTAATTAGACAGATCTTAGAAAATTCAAAAGTAACATTTCTACAATGTTTGCGAAATGATAAAATGGAACGTTACCTTACCGTTTTCTCTCATGTTCACACAACCAAAAAATTGAATGTTTTGAATGTTATTTAGAAGTAACATTTTCATAACTTGATGGGAACGTTGGAAAAACATTCTCTGAATATATTTGTGTTAGCGGGGCGTGATAAGCACCTGTTCCATGGAGGGACATGCGATGATCTGCAGGTCTTCGCCGCTGTACTCCTTCTGCAGTAACGCATGCAGTCTCTGGAACACCTGCTGGACGTTGTTCTGAAACAGCATGTGATTGACTGGATATCATTATCCTGCTGGGTGAGCACTGCATTATGGGCAATTGACTCTTTGCTTAGCTCCGCCTTAAAAAGTTAATGACTGATCCTACCTTAGCAACCGTTGCTATTTACCATTCTATAAGACAAACGTTTTGCGCTTTCTCCAAACATCCTATCAGTGTGTTTGGAAGCTTATAAACTGGATTTTCAGGCTGAAAACAGTGTTGTTATTGTTAACTAAGACCAAAACTAAAAAAAAAAAATACATTAATTGAAATACATTAAATGTTAACAGAAATAAAATAGAATACAGAGAAAAAAACAAATTAAATGAAAACAAGAAATTTTGCTGTCACAACTAACTAAAATAAAATAAGCTGAAGTACTAAAATTACTAAAATGACTAAAATCTTAAAAAAACAACTAAAACACCCAACAAAATTACTAAAATTAACTCAAGTTATTAATTCAAATATTAATAAATACTAATATCATTATTACATTCAAATAACAAATTAATAAGTACTACTTTTCTTTTTAATAAATACTAAGATAGTACAGTAATGATACTGAAACTCTGCAATGTATTTCTATGGGATGTTCTGTACTGTGTCAGTAACCAAAGGGAGCAAAGTTTAGCAAAAGGTCAGTATAAACACAGACTTGATTACATAATTAGTATTTTATGATTAGGTTCAAGAAATACAGACTTATAAACAATACTAAGAAAAGGCATGATACTCACCCTGACGGGCTTGAACAGGATGAACTCTGTGTCCTTATTGGCCAGATATAAAGACAAGCTCTGTAAGGTGATGGGCAGCTTGGTTTTCAGTATGCGATAGGTGGCCATCACAATGTCATTAATTTTGGCTAAAAGTACAGAAAACACATTCTCATTAACAAGTGCAAAAACCTCAAAACAACACACCCAGTCATACGTCTCTGTTTGTGAAAATAATTTCTGCCTCGTTATAGTGTGATTGCATGAATACTACAAAGTCTGTCAAAAATATGTACGGGTTATATTTCACCCCAAAATTGAAAGAAAAAAAATTACACAATGAAAATTAAGCATACTGTATTTTCAGGACTAACAAGATTTTCTCAGCAGATTTTCACACTAAATTATCATTAGTGTAATGCAGAAAATGTAAAAAAAATGTTTTTATATTGGTAGTATCTAGTGCCTTAAATTCATGCTAATTTAGAAAAAAAAATTAACATCAAAACCATACATATATATTATTTGTATTACTGTATTTCAAAAAAGGGGAAAAAAACCTAAAAGATTTATATATATGTGAAATTCAGTAATTAAGTTAATTCTGTAAAAGTAGTTATACCATTATAATCTTGCCCGTGAAGAAAAAAACAATAGAACCCCTCCCAAAGCAATATATATTACCGTTACTGATTCCAAATTATATAAAAAAAATTGTAGTTAGTAACATTATCCTATACATTGCACATTTCAGGTAATATAATCAGACTACTTTTTGATTACTTTGGATGTAACGTGTTTATCACATTGATTTAAACAGGAAAATCTTGTACCATATTGATATGAAAATACAAGGAGACAATACATACATGAAGTACAATAAACATTACATTGCATCAAGGTTTAGGAACTGCAGTGGGTTTCTGAGTTTAATGGAAAGCTAATTTAATAAATTAAATTAAATAAAAAAAATTTTAAACTACATCTTTCAGTCAAAATAAAACACTTAAAATATGAAATATTATAGCTGTTTACCTGCTTTATAATGTGAATAATATGTAAACATGTAACCCATAAAAAAGTAAATGTAATCTGATTACTAGTATTTTAAAATATTACATTTTTGGAATCTGATTACGGAATCCAGATTACATGTAATCAGTTGCCGACCCATAATGCACTGCAGGTGCGGGAGTGAGAATTTCCAAGTGAATCCTGACCTTGGTGAGAAACTCCTCCAGGTTTCCCACAAACATGTGCGTCTGCTGCTGTATGAACTGCTCACAGCTGGACTTCAGGTGTCGGTCCACTAAGCATTGTGCTTTGGTACTTTTAATATGAAACAAAGTCTCAGATTTCAAATTATGTCCATTGTATTGCAGTATTCAAACAATAAATGCCGTTTTGGCGCTGTTTAATGTGGAGTGACAGATCGCTGTAGCGCCTCAGTGAACAGATCATCTCCTCCACTTTATTACTAGTTATAGCACAAAATAAACATGATTAAGCATCCGAAGGTAAGTTAAAACAAAGAGTACAACTTTACAATCCATATCCTGTCCCATGTAACCGCTCAATCAGTGTTCCAGCCGCGCAAAGACGTCAATATAACGGCTTGTAAACAATGTCACGCAACGTCACAATTACCTCAGAAACAAACATATTCAACTTTTATTATAAAACTTCATTAAGTGTAATTTAAGCAATTCAAGCCTAAAAAATCAGTTAGTTTTTAACCTTCAATATCATAGTAATGTAGTACCAACTGACTCTCATGTATATTTTACAGCATTAGTTAAGATAATTTTTTTCCTTGAGAAAATTTGGCATGTGTACCTGATATATATATATCCAAAATAATCGATATTGAATCTAATCGAATCGCAAGCTTGTGAATGAGTATCGAATCGAATCGTGAAATTTGTGTCAAAAAACCCCAGCCCTATTAGTTACCCCCCCTCACAAAGCCAATTTTTACTCATATTGAGTAACAAACCAGTAAATATTACATAAAACAAATCATTCTGCATTATCTTTCATAACATCAACAACTCGAAGCTATGCACACATTCAGGGAATATCTTTTTTTGAGATATTTGCGTTAAAATGCTGAAAAACACTCTAAAAACACCAATTTATATGTATAGGTATTAAATATCTAAAATGCACCAGTCAAATCTGTCACACTCATTCTGTCAGAGCTGTGAACATCTATTAAAAAAAAAGACCAGCGATCATTCAAATCCACCCAAACCTCACAAAAGCGTGGCTGTTACCTCTGGTCTTCTTCAGATCCAGAGAGATCTCTTTAATGGCGAAGTCGGCGTGGAACGGGGCGATCTGCTCGCGCATGATCAGGAGATGTTTGATGAGAAAGAGCTGCCCATCTATTTGATTCTGTGAAGAAAGTACAGCAGGTTCAACACGTCTCTCGGGAATTAAACCACTTTTAAAACCTTACTGACCAATCCTGCCTCAGCCAGTGTTTCTGTTTCTGACAAAGCTTCTCATATAGGAATCCTGTGTTTTTTACCAAACGTTACACATAATATACCAAAAAATATGCACAATATAAGATTTAAAAATCTCAACTGCTTGATTGTTTGTAGAGTTGCATAATCTATATTATCACCCAGCAATATATTTAAAGTTGAATAATAGTACATCAAACTTTATTTGCATTTATACACAGTACTTACATAAAACAATATGTTACCCTGGACCACAAAACCAGTCATAAGGGTCAATTTTTCAAAAATTGAGATTTATACATCATCTGGAAGCTGAATAAATGCGCTTTCCATTGATGTATGGTTTGTTAGGATCGGCTACAAATATACCCCAGCGACTTCAGACTGCTTTTGTGCTCCAGGGTCACATATATATGCTATACAACAAATATCGGCTGTGTGATTGCTTAAATCACTGCAAAATGTAACTATATTATCGTCCAGCTCAATATATAAAGTTGGATATATATTATATTTAAGTTTAAACACATATAGTGCACTCATGTAAAGCAGCATAAAGTATATGGTAAATCTCAACTGTTTGATGGTTTATATATCATTGCAAAATGTAACTATTATCATCTAGCCCTAATCTGCTAAATGTGACTATAAGGCATGAATATACTGAAGATATGAAGATATTATAAACAATAACTTCATGATTTTATGTAAAGCTGCTTTGAAACAATGTGTATTGTACAAAAGGCAATAAAAAAACAAAAAACCTGACTTGAAATTTAATATGGTAAAATGTTGTTTATGGGTCACAATTACGGAATTAATTTCTCAGGATGGATGGATGGATGGATAGAATTAAATAAACAATAATTAAGTTATTTTATAATGACAGTGCATTGAAGATTTGAAAATAACTATAAATTATATTCAATCACTGCATTTTTTTCCAGAAAGATGCAGTGGTAACCTTAACATTTTATTTTAGACTTTAACATTTGTAAATGATCTAAAGCAAAATAGTGCAAGTGCTATAACAAGTCTCAGTTAGCTTAACACAGTACATGTAACAAGGTTTTCTTTTTAAATTATATAATAAATAAGAATAGAAAAAGAATAGAGCAAGCTAGTGTCATACTCATGATTTTATGGCATCAATTACTGTTTATTTAATCAGAAACAGTCTAAATATTATTTGTGTATTTTGCATTCATTTTATTAGAAGTAGGCCAACAGCGCCCCCTACGGAAGTAAAACTCCTTAGAGAACAGCATTAGGACCCGGGGGAGGCTGCCACTGCAGGTGCTGTTACTGTTGACTCTAACATACACTGAAGGTCATTCTATCCATGCATTCTCAGATTAAATGCAGAGATCCAAAACCGTGAATATCACCATTCAGGCAAAAACTTTGCTTCAAGAATGAGCCACACTGCTGACGTGATCTAATCGCTAGCACACCCTGAGCACATGTGAGTTAATGTATTCCTCTTATCGGCAAGACATATCGGCATAATTTTTCATATCGGGCTGATGCCGATATTTACATTTAAAGCCATTATCGGCCGATTCCGATATCAGTCCGATAATATCGTGCATCCCTAATAGATAGATAGATAGATAGATAGACATAAAAATTACTAAAAATAAATAAATAAATAAATATAAATGAACTAAAAAGAAAAAAAGAAAATTATTAATACATATTAAAAAGTTGTTTCTGGGTCATTTACAATAGATTAATAAATAATATATTTCTCAGGATGCATAAATAAATAAAATTTAAATTACAAAAAATATATATTTTAAAAAAATAAATAAAATTCATACATTAATAAAAAATAAAATTATTAATGAAAAAATGTTTCTGGGTCATTTACGATAGTGGAGTGAATTTCTCATTTCTGACAGATTGTCCTGTGTACAGATAAGATATAAACGCCTCACCTTGTTCTTCTGAATGATATCAGAGGCTTTGAGGAGAGACTGGATGCAGGCAGACAGAGCTTCCTGTGACAGACCCTGAAACACCGCCCTCTACAGGACACACCAGACAAAACAATCACTCACTCGCGGCATCTCAAACCACATATTACAGTTGTGCTCAACATTATTCATACCCTTGGTAAATATGATCAAAGAAGGCTGTGAAAATAAATCTG